GTGTTCAGATTCCCACCCGGGTGTTATGTGATCCTTATTTAACGTTTGGTACGGTTTCGAAATAACAAAGATGGAGTGATCCCTGGGTGGCACTCAGCCCAGTGAGAAATGACAATGAAATCGACGTCGAATCGACGTCAATTCGATGATTTCGATGTCGAATCGACATCGATTCGACGTCGATTCCATTGTCATTTCTCACTGGGAGGTGGGAATCTGAACATAGCCTTGTATGTCTCATCATGAGTGGCACTTCTTGTAAAAGTTGAGGTAGATCTTCTTCAAGAAATTCCCGATATAATGCACCATCAAGTCTTAATGGAAGAAAGTAGGGCCCAATTAAGAAATCACCAACAATACCAACCCATACATTTAATAAAAATTGTTGGGACCTAGATTCGACTATCGCATGTGGGTTATCTTCACACCATAAATGGTTATTATAAAAATTAATGATTGCGTTCTGGAGAAGTTTGCCTCGTCGGTGAAGAGAACTTGAGATAAGAATTGAGGATTTTCTTCTAGTCTCTGAAGAATCCATTGACAAAAAGCTAGTCTTTGTGAAAAATCGCATGGTAAAAGTCTCTGTACACGTTGAATGTGATAAGGATATAACTGTTGATCTTTCAAAATTCTTCAGATGACATAATTACTCACATTTAATGTCCTAGCTATTTTCATTGTGCTAGTTTCTGGATGTGCTTCGATTTCGTTAAAAAGCTTCCTCTAGTACTGGTGTTCTAACTGTCATAGGATTTCCAAGATCAACAGTATTCCTTACGAAAGAACCCTTTTCTCGAAGATAACGGTGAATATTCGTAAATGTTTTATAACATGGTAAATTGCGTTGGCATTATTTTCCTGCATAAATACGCCTTGCCTCACGTGAGTTATCATTTGCAAGACCGTAGGCAAAGTACATATCTGCCATTTCAAAATTTGTACTTGATGAAACCGATTTTGATGGACTGAAACAATTTAGCCCGAAAACGTATGTACACGCTAACTGACCAGCAACAACAGGACTGAAGTCTATTTTTGATTTTGTGACTTTGATTTTGACTTTGTCACTTTGTTTACGGTTATGCGAATGGTAACTCACTTGAAGCAAGGCATACTTATCAGGAAAATATCTCCAATTTACCGTTTGCGAACATTCACCTGTATTTCGGAAACTAAGCCGTTTAGGACACATGTTTATATGGATTTTTTTACTTGAAATAAACCATAGAATCGCTCTGTTAAGTATGGCAACATACTTAACTAACACCCTGTGTATATATCCTGATAATAATAATTCTAAAATTAATATTTTTCTAGAAAATTAAAATTCCTATTACGGTCGAAGCTGGATCTTCATTGCTTTAAATAATTCAATCTTGAATTACTAATATACTCTATATATGTACTTGTATATATACCATATTGTAGTCTTTTCAAACTGCGCGCCGAATTGTTTTTTCAGACTATAAACAAAATTAAAACTACTCTAGTAATCGCGAATTAAATTGACAAGCAATTTAATAATTTGATACTATAACATCAAGCATCATATTATAAAAATGTTAATATGTTGAAACTATTAATAAATTTATTGCGAAAAATATTACCTCGACCGAGACTTGAACGTGGATCTCTTATATTCCATACGAGCGTCCTAAGTCATTAGACCATCGAAGCCTTATTAATATTTTTCGCAATAAACGGTACAATAAGGAAACAACGTTTCTTTCTTTCAGGCGACGTAATATAAACAATATTAAGAATCTTTATTTTAGACCGCATATGTGAGAAACACAATCAATACTAGAAATTTTAAATGTTTATAAGGTATATATACAAGTACATACGAGTAGTGTATATTAGTAATTCAAGATTGAATTTAAAGTAATGAAGATTCAGCTTCGACCGTAATAGGCATTTTAAATTTCTAGTATTGATTGTGTTTCACATATGCGGTCTAAAATAAAGATTCTTAATATTGTGTTAATATTATTCTGTTTCTTTTTAATTTAAAATTATAATTCTAAAAGCGCTTTTAAACAGCATGGCCAATGTATACGCTAATTCTGCACACATTCGTTAAATATTGGCTTACATTCAATATGGATAATTATGTATATCATGTGTGTGTATATTTGCTAATGTTGGCGAACTTTGGCTGTCTGGAGACACCTTTCTAGTGAACAATATGTACAGTGAGAGCAAGAAGTATTCGTTCAAGGCAATTTGTTGTCAAAAAAGCCTTATTTATAGAAAATAAACATTAATTATAATAGCAATTTTATACAATGAATACATTCTGTTCTAACATAAACAAACAATGCCTTGTTTTATATTTGATTTTTATAAACAAACGAGTTTCGCATGTATAATATTTCTGATTTTGAAGCTCTCGTATGTACGAATACTTTTTGAGTATTAAAACAACACAATTTTTAATTTTCGCTTATTTTTCAGATGATACATTTTGTATAATTAATACACATCTTTTTGGTATATATAACTTTAAGAAACATACAGTCTATTTTACCAGATGCTACAATCTTAACTAATCAAGTTAAATTCTATCAAATTAAAAAGTAAAACGCAAGTGGTACTATCTTTTGTTACTTAACTCTAACGATATGTATCATTCATATAAAAGATTTGATATCAATACAACTGATGCCAAGTTAAATTCCACAAAATTTTATGTATTATTTATAAAAAAGATTTCATATCAACAATTGGCGCGAAGTTAAATCCCATGTAATTTGGATATCAAATTAAATAAATAATATCAACTTTAATGATATGTATTATTCATATAAAAGATTTTATACCAACAACTAGTGCCAACTTAAATCCCATACCAAATTAAGTAAAGAATACAATTTATAATGGCGTTACCTTGTCCATTTAAGTGTTACCATAAAAAGTTAAAGAAGTAAACACTTGGTGCTGCTGGATCGAATAATAAAAACTATAAAAGCCATTAAAAAATTATAATAGCAGTTAAAAAAATAAATAATAAAAGATAATTATAATTGTAATATAATAATGAATTTAATATGAATGTTTTTTTTACACTAAATAAAAATAGGGTTTACTGGTTATTTCTTTTTTTTTTTATAACACAAGTCTTATAAATCCAAATTAATTTATCTTAAACTTAAACTAATAGTTTGCACAACTTTCGTAACTTATGCAACTGTTTAACCCAATCGAAAATATTCCTACGCTAAATTACTTTTACTCTCATCAAAATGTTTTTCATTTTTCTTATTTTACATTCATGTTTTTAGCACCGCGATCGTCCGGGAATTAGGCTACCCACCGGGCGCGTCTCCAGGTGGCGGATCGGAGGACGTCCGGAGGGGTGCTCGGTCTCCCGGGCATGAAATCCCGTGTGTGACTGGAAGTCCCTCCGGATAGTGGCGACTATACCAGTGGTTAAACCCTCAGGAGTGAAACCCTGCGTGAGGCCGGGAAGGCTGCTGCCGCGGACCAGCCCACCAAGCCAATCTGTGAGCCATCGAGGTGAGGGCTGCGTGGCACTAGGGAGCAGTGTCGTGGTCGATGCATCTGGGGCACCGCGCGAAACCCTAGAGTGTTTAGCCTTACCCACGCTCTGCGTGAGCGGACCTTGTTCGTCCCTAGCTACTCGTGGGATCAATATGAATCAGAAAATTGAAAACCAAAAATTAAATGACAATTCAGTAACTGAAGGCCCGAAAGGGCACTCGGCGGAGATGGCGGCAACTGTGTTGCAAAAACAGGCTCGTACGGGCTCGAAAAGCGAGGCGGTGGTCGCTGCGGCATAGATGGAAATGGTTCCCGTTTCAGAACGGGTCTTCTCGAGCTCGGAAAGAAACAAGAGCAAGGCGGGCTCAGTGTCCCTCGGCGGCCCTTACTACGCCGGTGGAAGGGGGGATAGGGATCACCAGTAAAAAGCGCCGCGCGGGCTCTGACCAAACCTATCTCTGGGTTAAGAGAACGGTGAAGAAGCTTAAGGCTCAAGTAACTGGGACCTTCGCGATAGTGACCCATTCGCGAGGGCGGTTGTTCTGGAGGGGTACCCCGAGAGGGGGATCACTCCGCAGCAGCTGACCCTGTTTCGGGGGGCGGTCCTAGAGGAGATGGAAGGGATCCAAGAGTGCCCTGTCCAGATTCGTGGGTCAAGCTACCTTCAAAAACGGGACGGTCGTAATTAGAGATGAGGAGGCGACGTCCCTCAGCTAGCTAGAGGGCCGCGTGGGGAGCATCGTGCTTTGGGAGAGCGCTAAGTTCAGAGTGGAGGGCCAGGACGAACTTCAAAGGCGACACAGAGCGGTGATCTGGGTTCCGGGTCCTCCGAAGCCCGCGGCTACCGTTCTGGCACTGCTGGAGAGACAGAATCCGGGCTTCGGCGCTCTAAACTGGCGCGTCTTTGCCGAAAACGTGGGCGTTTTCCCTGAGGAGAGGAACTACGTTTTTGGCATCTTGGAGTCCAGCGCTCTCAAATTGAAGGAGCGGGACCCCAAGTTATATGGGATCTAGCAAATCACCGTAAGGTGGCTCGATCCCATATAACCATGGCGAAGAGACAGACAAGGAGGTGCCTCGGTCTAAGGACTAGTACGAATAATGGGCTGGTCGGTGATCGAGGTTGGGTGGCACGGCTCAATTGGACACGATCCACTCACAGCGCTTGAGACTACAAAGCTCCTAAGCACCGGTCGCTGTGATTGGTGATGTCCAATCGATCCGTAATCAATCGGGATCACCCCATCGAGGTTACCCAAATCAATTTGCATCACAGCAAAGGGGCCTCGGCGATTCTAGTCAGGCGTAAGTCTGTGATGCATAGCTGTATCAGCTGTTTCCCTGATACAGGAACCATGGATCGTCCGTAGGTGTGTCAGAGGTGTGACAACATGTGGGAAACTCTTTAAAGATCCCACTGAACAGAGGCCTAGGGCGTGCGTAGCAGTCGAGGGGATGCGCGTCTCCTGCCTGAGGTGTGTTCCAGGGATCTGATGACAGTGGAGGTGACAACTGGCAGCGCTGGAGGCACCGGGAAGCTAATCATCTGCTTTGCCTATTTCCCGTATGGAGAGAAGGTGCCACCACCGGAACTGATCAAGCTGGTAGATTTCTGCCAGAAGGAAGAACTGCCACTACTGGTGGGGTGCGATGCTAACGCGTACCACACTATATGAGGAAACACTGATTCGAACGAAAGAAGAAGTTGCTGGAGTATCTGGTAACAACCGATCTGGAAGTTCTAAATAAAGGTAATAAACCCACCTTTTACGCGGCGGAGACGAGCGAGGTACTCGACCTTACTCTCTGTTCATGTGGATCCGTGCGAAAGGTGACGGATTGGAAGGTGTCGGATGAGCCCTCGCTCTCCAACCACAGGCTAATAACCTTTAGACTTTCAGATCTTAAAGTGGAGGTCAAGGAACCCAAAGAGGACGGACTGGGACTCCTATCAGAGGGACCTGGAAATGAACTTCAGGGATTTTCCCAAAAGGTATGGCACGGCGGGGGAGCTGGAGCTCTGCGTGGATCATCTGCAAAGGGCTCTGATCCGCTCTTACGAAGCGAACTGCCCGGCCAAAATAGTTATCAACAACAGGGGAACTCCCTGATGGAATTCACGGCTGCAGAATCTCAAACTCAAGGATCGACGGACCTGTAACAGGGCGAGGAACACGAGCCGACCCTCCGATTGGAATCTTTATAAGAAGACTCAGAAGGAGTACAGGTATTCTGTGGTGGAAGCAGAGAAGAGCTGGCGGGATTTCTGCGAATCAGTGGAGGGAATACCGGCCACCGCCAGGCTTTGTAGATTTCTGTCCAGGAACCAGGATGCTACATTGGAGGTAGTCCGAATGTCGGACGGCACCATGGCTTCCGTAGAGAGATACTTGGTGTACCTTCTGGAAATCAACTTTCCTGGTTTCCAGGAGAGTCTGGACAGGTATTGGGAAGTTGACACGGGATTTTTCATGTGCCAACGATTGGAAACTAGCAGCCGAAATTGTGAGGCTAACCAAGGTCAGATGGTCGATTGGTTCCTTCCAACCGGCAGGATTCAAGTCGGCGGGGGCCGACCTTGTTTTCCCGGCTCTCTTTCAGAGAGGATTGGAGCAGATGATCGGGCCCCTCAAAAAGGTGCTGAGGGTCTGTCTGGCCCTTAGTTACAAAAAACCCCCCCGAGCGTGGAGAAGGGCGATAGTCGTCTTTATCCCCAAAGCGGGACGGATAAACTACGTCACTGCTAGAGACTTTAGACCAATCAGCTTGACCTCGTTCCTTCTTAAAACCTTGAAAAATCTGGTCGAAGTATACATCAGGGATTGTGTGCTGGCTCGGTATTAGTTACACGCCAATCTGCACGCATACCGGGCTGGCCACTTGAGTATATCGGCTCTCCATACGGTTGTCTACAATATCGAAATGCTGTTCCAACAAGGAGGCTTTTTGGTAGGCACCTTCCTGGATATTGAGGGAGCCTTTAACTACATCCCACATGAAGTAGTTTGTGCTGAGGCAGCAAGACAGGGCGTACCGGTGAAACTCGTAGAGTGGATCCGAGGAATGCTTGGAAGTCAAGTGACATCACTGGGTACAGGGAGTGTCAAAGGATGGGTGGAAAGAGGCTGTAGCTGGACGAAAGTGTTACTTAGAAGAAAGTGATACCTGGTTTTTGGTAATTAAACAATTAATTTGGTCGCCACCTTGTTTTGCCATCCCACAAGGAAGGAATGTGCCTCTAATTACGGATTCCCTTTATTATCAAGTTTCCTTCAGCAATCGGGACATTCTTCGGGCAATGGTATGACTCGTGTACCCAAGGTCATACGGACTTCATTATGACATCTTCCCTCGACAAGCGATTTGCAGGAAGTGGTCTCAAGGAAGGTATTTCGTGAATAACGAGATAATCCACATGTATGACTATGTACAAGTTTATTTACAGTATTTATAAAAGTCACACGACTCACGAGAAAGATAATAGTTTCGATCTATCTGAATATACGTGTCAACGAGTCTGTACGGTACCTTCCGCGCCCGCGTGCTCGTGGCCAATTAATTAATTTATATAAAACGACCTTTTCTATCGTTCGCGACACTCTCACTCACTCGTGCAATTAATCAAATAATTATAATCGCGTACAGAAGCCTGTTAAATGAATACCAAACACGGCTTGATTAAAACCGCCGCGTTACACGTGATGACGTCGCGAGTGATGAAATTCAAAGATATAGATGGAATTCGTCTCAACATTAGATCAACTAATTACAATTTATATTCACTTAAGAGTATCGAATTTAAAAACGCATGTTGATCGCAGCTCGAACGAAGATGGTTCCAAAGTATACTGAAACGTCCTATTTTTTTTGGAATAAAGATTGTATTTTTTTGGATTGAAGATTACGTATTAATTACCACGCTGACTCTCATTACCTGTTTTTTAGGTTTTTGTTATAATATATTATCAGATGATCATTTAAATTTTTAAACGTTTAAATTTTTGAGAATATGCTCTGTGTATGTTCACTTTGAACTGGGACCTTGAATAATATATCAGTTACTTTTCATGGTAGTAGGTATATTGTAGTGGTTCTAACTCAGGTCCTCTGAGGGGAGCGCGGGGCGCAGGGATATTAAGGCGAGGGAAAGAGGGGATCTTCGGTGGTGGGGGTATGACGTCATGCGGAATGGCAGTAAAATTTTGGGGACTGCAGTCACGTACAAGACAACAAAAAACATCACAAAAAAAGAAAATATTGCCATGAACAAAAAACAAATAGTTATAGAACGAAAAGTGTTACAAAGGGTATACGCTCCAACCGTTTTTAGACCAAGATATAGCGTAATGTAATTTTTCTGTAGAAACAATATTTATTAATTATTTTAAATACCTAAATACAACCAAATTTCATAATTATTGAGAGTAGGTATAGTAGGCGAGTTCTAACTCTATGTGGCTAGAGCGCGGAGAAGGTCCCCCGGTCGCTGCCACGACCCCGCGACCACCCCAAAAATGCATTGCA